GCGGGTCGAGGCTGCAGTGGCCAGGAGCGGCCACTGCACCCCAGTCTGGGTGACAGAGTGAGACTCCGACTCAGAAAAAAAAAAAAAGAAAAAGAAAAAGAAAATTAGCTGGGCTTGATGGTGCATGCCTGTAGTTCCAGCTATTCGGGAGGCTGAAGCAGGGGGATTGCTTAAGCCCAGGAGTTTGAGGCTGTGGTGAGCTGAGATCGTGTCACTGCACCCTGGGTGACAGAGAGAAACCCTGCTTCGAAAAGGAAAGTCCATCCATGCGCTGATGACCCCAAATAGTTACCTTTCCCCCCAGACCTGTCCCAGGCTCCACACTCTGATTCCAACTGCCTACGTGACATCTCCATTTGAATGTTCAATGGACATCTTGGATTGTGCATGTCAAAAATGCACCTCCTGACCTCCCGGCCGCTGTCCAGACTTCTTCCTCCCATAGCCTTCCTCATCTGTCAATGACATCTCCATCTTCACACTCCTCTTCCCCTCCTGCAAAACTCTGTCAGCTCCACGTTCTCAACAGACCTAGCATCCCATCTTCCTCACACTGCCACCTCTACTGCCCTGGCCCAGTAGAGGTGGCAGTGGAGGAATATTCTAGTAGCCTCCGTTTATAGCAAGCCTCATTCTTGCCCCTCCCAAACCTGCTAGGTCATGTCACTCCTCAGCTTGTAACCCTCCAGGGCCATCTCATCTCACTCAGAATAAAAGTCCAAGTCCATTCAAGAGTCTCCAGGGCCCCTTTCCTCACCTATCTTATCTGGTCTCCGACCCTCCATCCCTCAATTGCCTGATCCATCCATGCTAGCTGTCTCCCTGCTCTCATTACTCTTCAAACACATTAGGCATCTTCCTGTCTCAGGGCCTTTGCACCTGCTGCTTTTTTTTGGCCAAGACTGCTTTTCCTCTGGTTGCCCACATGGCTCCTTCCCTTAATTCATTCAGGCCTCTATTCAGATATTCATTTACCAGAGTGGACTTCCCTGAGGTACCAACTTTGTCACTCCCTGCCACTGCTTGTCCTTTCTTCTCAGCACTTATCATTGCTGGACTACTGTGTGTTATTTGCTTGTAATCTGTATTACTGACGTGTTGTAATACAACACGTGGCGGCAGCAATCCCTGCTCCTCTTTCCAGAATGTAAACTCCGTGAGAAGGGGATATTTTGGTCAGTTTTGTTCACTGTTCCTTCCCTAGTGCCCAGAAGGATGCCTGGCACACAGTGGTCGCTCAGAACTTCCTGAACTTGTTCTGGGAGGCCCTCCCTGACTACACATCCTGCCAGGCTGAATGGTGTCCTGTATCTCCCCCTCAATCCCACCTCCACACCCCACTCCTGTTAACCTGTTTTTGCTGCAGGAAAGTAGCTTTGTGAGTTTGAGACTGTCTTGTCCATGGGTCTATTCTCAGGGCCCTGGCCTTAGTACTCAGCAAATCTTTCTTAAAAAACAAGCCCCACCCCCACCCCCCACCCCCCGTGTGGCCCGGCTGATCTCCCCAGGCCTCCCCAGCCACGGAGATACGGTACGAATGCAAGGGAGGCGAGGTCGCTGGTCCCTCGGGATGAGCCGGTGCCTGGGCGCGTCCTGCGCCCGGGCTCCGAGTGGGGAGCGGCGCAGGCCTGAGCCCCGGGGGTCTTGGGTTGGGTGGGGACATACCCGGCGGGCGAGGGGCTCGGTGAGCGTCTCCCCGTAGGGGCTGAGCGGGTGCGCGGTATAGTGCCGTAGCAAGTCCTGCAGCCGCGCGTGGGCGCTGTCTTCGCCCAGCACCACGTGGCGCCCGTCCCCGAGCTGGGCCAGCAGGAAGTGGCGGCAGCAAGCCCTGCTCCTAGAGGGAGCCATGAGGGGTCAGACCCTCTGCCTCTTCCCGGCCGGGGTCCCCCCCACGAAGCGCGACCCCCTCCGTCAGCAGCTCCGGGGCTGAGCGAAGAGCCCCGCCCCTGGGGGGGGGCAACACAAGCCCCGCCCCTCACCTGTAGGTCAATACGAAGGTCACGGCGCTCTCGCTGAAGCGCACCAGGTAGCATCCTCGTGGCTTGGGCTGCAGTAGCTTCTCGGCCTCCCTGTGGGCGATGGAAAGGAGGCAGAACCGTGCTGTGACTTTTCCAGGCTAGCCTTCTGTCTCCCGGCTCTCTCGAGGGACCCCTGCCCCCAAGCAGGCACCAGGAGACGCAGGGGTAGCGCTGGGGTGGAGATGGGGAGAGGGGGGATGTGGGCGCTGCCCTCCCGCGGCAGGAACTGGGTGTGCACAGGGACCAGGGGGCCCCTTCAGGAGACCCCGCCAACCCTGCATCCTCCCCATGCCTCAGCCTGGAGGGGCAGCCTGCAGGGCTTCCTCGACCGGTGCAACAGGGGCGGTAGGTAGGTAGACTGCTAGACTGCAGAAGTCACGAGTGGAATTGGGGAGATGAACAAAGATACAAGACAAGTGAGGCTGAGGAATGGAGGGGGAGGGAAACTTTGAGGGGGGAGGGGAGAGGAGAAGGCTGGAGAGAACCAGAGATAAAGATGGAGTCGGCCATGACAGAGAGAGGCAGACAACCTCAGGACATTAGGGACGGGAGATTAATGGAACTTGGAAAGGGGACCCTGAGCTCAGAGGAGATTGGGCTGGAGCTTTTCCAGTGATCTCTCCTGGGAGAGGTACTTCAGGGAAAGACTTGGGAAACTCCAGGAGCTGGAGCCTGGCGTCATGGACTCAGTCTCCTCCTGCCTGGTCGCAGGACCCAGGATTTGCCCCTGCCTCTCTGGGCCTGTTCCCCGCCTCCCCCTCCCGTGTGACTCACCTTCGGGTGATGAAACCATGGAACCAAGTCGGGGCTGCCCCGTGTTGCAGGAGCCAGTGGGCCTGGGTCTTCTGGAACCAAGCCCGGGTCTCAGCCTGCAGGGACAGGCTTCCTTCCCCGGGCACCTCCTCAGCCTTCTCGGTGTTCCCTGGGGTGGAGGCTACCCCAGGGGCCTGGGGAGAGGCCTGGATAGGGAAAGAGTTCAAGAAAGGAGAGGCAGCCATGGTAAGTGGGCCTGCTTCTGTCGCCAAGTCAGCTGCCATCTTCTCATCCTCACACCCAGCCTCACCTGCCTATTTCAGGGTATAATTGCCCAGAAAGTCCTTCCTAAGTCTAACTTCAGTCTCTTCTTAAGGTCCACTGTTTTGGTTTCCAGAGATTCTCCTTCCTCTTTTCTCTGAGTCCTGATGGCTTTTCCTTTTTTTTTTTTTTTTTTGAGTTGGAGTCTCACTCTGTCGCCCAGACCGGAGTGCAGTGGCACACTCCCGGCCACCGCAGCATTGACCCGCCGGGCTCTGGCGATCCTTCCGCCTCAGCCTTCCCAGTAGCCTGAACTACAGGTGCACACTACCACGCCCAGCTAATTTTTGATTTATGGTAGAGTCGAGGTCTCGCCAAGTTCCCCGGGCTAGTCTTGAACCCGTGGGCTCAGGCAATTCACTCACCTCGGCCTCCCAAAGTGCTGGGATTACAGGCTGAGCCACCGAGCCCGGCCTCTGAGGGCTTTTCAACTGAGTTTAACTGGGGTGAGAGAGGCAGCAAGGCCTTCCAGAGGAACAGAAAATCATTCCTTGGCCCAGGGAGTGAAGGGAGATGATGCAGGAAGTCACCAAGAGGCTGGAATGAGGAGGGCATACTCTCCAGCAAGAGGGACTAAGCTGTTTGCAGGGAAGGTTCCCTAGTTACTGGGCGGAGGGCAGATGAAGGCTGCCAGCACAAAGATGCAGATGCCAGTGTCTGGGGCGCAACACACTGCACCTGGTGCCCTGTGGATGATGCAGCCTGGGCTTCCCAGGGGCAAAGGAGCAGCGAGGGGTGGGTGGGCAACTCAGCACATGAGGGAGGTCCTTCCCAACCTCCTTCCTTCCCTGTGCCCAGCACTGCTGGCAGCCCTTGGTCATTTCTTCTTCTTTCCTTCCTACCTTCCTTCCTTCTTACTCTTCCATCTTCCTTCCTTGCCCAGGCTTGAGTGCACTAGCACGCTCATGGCCACTGCAGCCTGGACCTGCTGGGCTCAGTCGATCTTCCACCTCAGCCTTCCAAGTAGCTGGAACTACAGGTGAGCACCACCATACCGGGCTAATTTTTGATTTATTGTAGAGACGAGTTCTTGCCAAGTTGCCCAGGCTGGTCTTGAACCCCTGGACTCAGGCAGTCCTCTCACCCTGGCCTCCCAAAGTGCTGGGATTCCAGACACGAGACACTGTGCCTGATGTCATTTCTGCTTTCTGTCTAGGTGAACTTTGTCCATCTGCAAGTCCACTCAGGGGAGGGTGGGAGAGATGAAGGAACTTCAACCCCTGTCCCCCAGGTTTCCCACTCACCACTGAATGGCCAGCCGAGGCCCTGAGTTGGGCCTCCTCTGTCCTTGGGGCCTGGAGTCTGGGCCCTGGGAGCAAGCCCAGGCCCTGACAGCTCCTGCGGGTCGAGTCCATGGGCTGGAAGGTGCTGAAGGTGGGGGCGGGAGCTTCGTGACTTCCTGTTAGCACAAAGAGGGCTACCTCTCTCTCTGCCTCCCCCTGAGTCTCAGAGGGCCCCACCAGCCTCTGACCAGGGACCTGGAGGACTGAGAGTCTTGACAACAGGAGAAATGCAGGAGAGACAGCAGGGGGGACTCAGCCATGAGGAGTAAGAGCCACGGCAGTATGGAAGGGCTAACGCTGCCAGAGAGGGTTGTCAGGGAGACCGGGTGCCAGGAAGGAGAGCCCGGGGATGAGGCTGACCTCCTGATGGCCTGGAAGTCCCACGGCAGAGAGACCGATCTCAGGGCAGGGCAGGCCCCTCTCCTGGCCCAGAATCCTCTGCCTCCCACCCTCTTTCCCTCCTGTGCCCTCCTCTCTCCTCTCTAAGAAGCGCTCAGCAAAGCCTGTCACCTTTGTCCTCAGGGGTGAGTGGATGTGGAGGCCCAGAGAGGGAGCAGGTGTTGCGGGTATCTTCTCAAGCAGCCTTCCTCTGGCTTGGGGTGGGGCCCTCACTTTTTGAAGTGAGAGCTCAGGCCCAGGGGAGAGGGCAGGAGAATGGGGGTCTTGGTGCCCCCTCCCACCCACATTCTCTCTCTTGTACACTTACCTTGGGGACATACCTGGGCCAGGGAGAGCTCCATAGGGGCAGCCTAAGAAGGGCCTCCAGAGCAGGGTGTGTGTCCGTGCTCTTGAAAGGTGTGCATAGTCAGCAACTCATTTTTCCTCTTGGCCCCTGGCAGGAAATGTCGCCTTACCCACAGCCTTGGCCCCGGCAGAAGACCCACGTCATGGAAAGCGGCATGACAACTGTCTCACTCCCGGAAGCTGTGCAACTGAAAGTAATGGTGGTATGGCGGTGGTAGGTATTTGTCACTCTCTGTTGAGGTGTTGAGAAGTCCTTACTGCTGCCTGACCTCCGGTCATCCTGATTCTTTCTCTGTTCCCTCACCCAGACTGGTACTTTCCTTTCTCCCTCTTTCTTTATGCTTCTTTTTTTTCCACTGTAAGGTCTCCCACTCTGCCTTTTGGCCTGACCTAAGCAGTGAGAATGATGATGCCAGCTTCAGAAGGATAAGCCCTGTAAGATTCTTGGGGCTTCTTGGAGATTTATACTCAGGATCGTGCTTTGAGAAGCAGGAGGAAGGCAGGGGGCATGGTTGCAACAAGAGGTAGGTCAGACTTCGGGAAGGACTTTTTTGGTTTTTATTTTGTTTGGGTTGAAGTCTCACTCTGTCCCCCAGGCTGGAGTGCAGTAGCATTCTCACGGTCACCACAGCCTCGACCTGCTGGACTCGGACGATCCTTCTGCCTCAGCCTTCCAAGTAGCTGGGACTACAGGCGTGTGCTACCACACCCGGCTAGTTTTTTATTGATTGTAGAGACGAGGTCTCGCCAAGTTGCCCAGGCTGATCTCGAACCCGCGGACTCAGTCAATCCACTCGCCTTGGCCTCCCAAACTGCTGGGATTATAGGCTGAGTCACCGAGCCCAGCCTGGAAGAACCTTTTGAGGTCATATGAAATCTGTGAGACAAGGGATTGGGGAGGAGAGGGCCTGACTTCCATCCTTGAGCAAATAATGGCGCTGGCTTAGGACAAAACCAGGCAATCCTGGAGGGAGAAAGGGGATTTCCCCCAACTAAGCTGGTCCTTGTTAGTATCAACACTGTTAGCAGTTGTTGTAAATAACATCAGTGCTGAGGTCCTATATTCCAGAACACTTGTACCCCTTCCACACCAGAGGACCAATCCCATTTCTCTCTCATTTGATCCTCACAAAATAAGAAGGAGACGGGGAATAGTATCCCCATTTCCCAGGAGAGTAAACTGAAGCTCAGAGAAGTTAAATGCCTTGGCCAGGGTCTTTCAGCTCCGGAACTGGAAACTAGACTTCCTTTCACTAATTTCACTGTGATTTAGGCCAGAGGTTCCTGACTACGTGCCACGCACTGCTCTTGGTGCCAAAAACCCAAAGAAAAAAGACCTTGTCTCAAAATATCACGTGGGGGAAATGACCTTGCCAACAGATACTTTTTTTCCCTCTTTTTTCTTTTGAATTGGGCTCTCACTGTCTCCCAGGCTAGGGTGCTATGGCATGATCATGGCCCACTGCAACCTCAACTTGCTGGCTCATGTGATCTTCCCATCTCAGCCTCCCAAGTAGCTGGGACTACAGGCGTGTGCCACCATGCCCAGCTAATTTTCTGATGTTTTGTAGAGATGACGTCTTGCTACGTTGCCTAGGCTGTTCTCAAACTCCTGGGCTCAAGCAGTCCTCCTGCCTTGGCCTCCCAAAGTGCTGAGATTATAGGTGTGAGCCACTGGGCCTGGCCCCGGATACTTATTAAAACTTGTGGTAGGCTGGTGCTATGAGACCCCCTCTCAAAGGTCCCTTATTTAGCCTGGTGTGTGCATGTATGTGTGTGTGCGTGAGGGGGCGTTGGGATGTCAGAGTGGTGAGGGTGAGGAGAGGAGAAGTACAGGGAAAAAAGATATAAAACAATGTTACTGCATTGGCTGCCGCCCACCCCAAGTGGGCTGGAAAGAGCACCAACCAGCTGCCCGACTGGCATTTTCCCTAGACAAAGATGACTTTCCTTAGACAGGGTGCAAGGTAAGGTCACACCCTGGAGTGCTCCCCGGAAGGGAGAGAGGAGGAGGAATTGATCTGCCCAGCTCCCTCTTGCTCCCCACTGCCCACTGGTCAGGGGTATCCCATGGGAACTGATGGGAGGTTGCACCCCCTGAGCCTTGGTGTTCGCTCAGGAAGCCAGATCCCATGGCCCACGGTGTGGTGTTTGTTATTAATCAGAAATGGAATGGTGACCTAGAGAGGTAGCCTCAACATGTGGGTGTGAAGACCCTGCCTCCCTAGGTCTTCAGCTTGGACTCTAGCCAGCTCTGGCCACAATAAAAGTGCTCTGATGGAGGTGGCAGTGGTTTGGAAGGCGGGGAGCCCCTTTGGAAATGAGTCAATGAAAAGAATCTAGTTGAGCATGGTGGCTCACGCCTGTAATCCCAGCACCTTGGGAGGTGGAGGCTAGAGGATTGCCTGAACTCAAGGTTTTGAAACCAGCCTGAGCAACTTGGTGAGACCTTGTCTCTATAATACATCAAAAAATTAGTCAGGTGTGGTGGCATGTACCTGTAGTTCCAGCTACTTGGAAGGCTGAGGTGGAAGGGTCACCTGAGTTCAGTTGGTCGAGGCTGTGGTGGCCGTGAGAGTGCCAATGCACTCCAGCCTGGGCAACAGAGTGAGACTCCAACTAAAAAAAAAAAAAAGAAAGAAAGAAAAGATTCTAAGGGTGTGTATGAGTTTTGTGTCCAACACAGACCACTCCTCTCCTTGTGCCCTCTCATTATATCCAGCTGCTGTGCTATGATGCTGGGCTTAAACTTGTTTTGTGCAAAGACATTCCCATGTCCTTCCTTATTTCCTAAACTAGTTAACAGCATTTTTCTCAAAGACAAGGGCAAAAAGATTAGTGCAAAAAGCTACAATCCCCTTAGTTGTAACTAGTCCAGAGGGTCTCACTGATATTTAATCATTCCCCTCCTCTATAGATCATTTCAGATCTCCACCTACAGTCACCTTCATCAGGGTTGTTTTCCTGGTAGGGTGATCTAAACCTTCCCTGCCAAAAGGTGTAGACCCCTGGTTGTCTTGCCTTTGCTGGTTGATACAGCTGCTCATTCACAGTCATCACCAGGCCTGAAACTACTAATTGATGCCCCGAAGGGTCCCTGGGTACAAGACATTCTCCTGCCTGCCCCCATTGTGTGGCAGGCGCTCTAACTTCTCAGAGTAACCATGATTAATTATCCTAGCCAGTACAGGAACCCCTTTCCTTTGCCTGTCGGTCTACTGCATGAGGATCCTAAAGTAGTGTAATGGAATTCTTACTGTGTCTTAACTCTGTTAACTATCTCACCTGGAAGGTCCCAAGGTTATGTTAAAGGTGAGCACAAAGTCACAGATAAGTCACTGAATGTAAGAGAGGAACCCTTCCTAATTCCAGTCTTTGATACCCAGATCCATGTATTTGGATTGTAGGGGACACTACAATATTGTGAGCATTGGTTTAAGACCTATACTCCATCATGGAGGAAAGAGCTCCCATTCCACAAGAGGCTATTCCCCTGATGTGCGTTTCTGAGCTTTCGACAGGCCATTCCATCATCCACCAAGCTGGCCAATTCTGGGTGATGGGGCAGGACCAGTACACCCTGTGACCAGGTGTCTGTTGTTGTGCCTCTTTGCTGTAGAATGGTGCCCTTGGTCTGAGGCACTGTGGTGTGGGATACCCTATTGAGAGATCAGGCATTCTGTAGCACATGAGCAGCGGTGCTGGCATTTGTAATGATTCTGGTAAGGACTGCCCCCTCAGAAAGGGAGAGGTCTGATGTAGTCAATCTGCCACCATATGACTGGGTGTTTTCTCCCACATGGAGGCATAATACCAGATATAGGGCTCAGTGTAACCTTTGCAGGATGCAAGCTGGACACTCAGCAGTAACTTTGAACTAGGCAATGCTGCCAGGTTCACTATGTTTATCAGCTCATTGTGCCAGCACTGGGGGGACTGGTAGTTAAAGAGAAAGGCTGGCTGACATCCACAGGATGAGTTATCCTGCCCAGCTGGTTGTTCACTGCCTTCCTGTGAGAGATGCTCTTTGGTGGGCATCAATGTGAGGCCCAAAGAGCTGCATGCTGTGTGCACACTTCCATAGGTCCATCTACCAGGGCTAGGGCTGGGTGGGGTGAGGGTGGTACCCAAGGCACAAGCTTTACAGAGGTGCTCATTCTCATGATCCTGCAGACACTTTGTAGTCCTGGCCCTGCCACACATAGCTCTTTCCCAGACCCTTTCTCTGGTCTTTCCATTTTGTTCCTTTGAGAGTCCTGACCAGCGGACCATGCGCCACTTCCTGGTAGTCCATGAATATTCTGACTTTGGACTGTCCCCACCTGTAGAAAAAGTAGATGACCAAATATATGCTTGCAGTTCTGCTCCCCAGTAGGATTTCCCTTCACCATTGTCCTTCAGGGACACCCTGAGTGGGGCCATACTGCTATGAGTGCCAGCACTTCATCCTGGAACATCTATCAGTTGGTTATAAGGACCCCCACCATGCCCCTGCCGTGGGGTCATAAATGTGTGTTGAAGAAGAACCTGTAAGGCAGTAGAGGCAGATGATTTGGGAGTTTAGGGCCACCACTTCTCATTCAGTTTACTTGTGTTCTGGACCAGTTTAAGCCCAAATGTGTCATTTCCATCACATACTAGATTGCTGCTTTGCATGTCCAACTTTATGACTCAGTAGATCAGACAACATTCAACTATGATGGGCAGCTCAGGCTGAATGGTCACTTGGCTCCCATTGGTTGGGCATTCGGTCTTTGTTAGGGCCCCACAGCATACTGATAGCTGTTTTTCAAAGTATAATTCTCTGTCGGAGGGGATGTGACTTTCTTCTAGAACCGTGAGCCATCCACGCAATTCTCCATTGGAGCTCACTAAAGACTCCACCCAGCATCCTCATCTACTGTAGTATTTCTAGCACCACCAGGTGTGCTGGGTCACAGAGTCTTGGAGGCAGGCAGCTTGTGCCTCAACCTGGACTGCTTCTGGGACCTTCATTACTC